CGGCAGCCTCGCCTCTGTCAGTGCGCCCCAGGGTGGCTGTGGTTACAATGTAGCTTGCCATCACCAGTGTGTGAATGGGTGGATGACTGGATATGTAAAGCGCTTTGGGGTCCTCAGGGACTAGTAAGGCGCTATATAAATACAGGCCATTTACCATTTTACTATTACCAGTAAGTTTGATGGTTTCCAGCCTTAACTCACATTGTCTCCTTGACAATCTATGTACTGAAGGTCCTTCAGGAAACTGGGTTTGAATCTGTTATCCTCTCTCTGCTTTCCTGTAAACAGTCCAATCCAATAAAAATGCACAAAAATGCCAAAACTAAATAAATTTGCTGAGTATCAACTGAGACACAGTAACAAAATTGTAACCTGAAACTTAATCTAAAAAGATCACAGTGTCATTTGGCTGTCTGAGTCATACTCCAACCTAACAGTCACAAGAACAAGTAAGTTAATTTCATAGGGTCACGAGGTAAAAAGGTTCAATTTAAGGACTCCTCATAATTCAAGCATCTCTATAATTGTCTAGTTATATTATTTCTAGAGCATTTACATGTGAAAACAGCTTCATATGATTATATGAAACTGAAGACAACCATAACAAAGTAATGCTTTGAAATCATAACTTAATTTTATTACATTTAATTTTTGACCGTGTGTGTGTTTTCTGCCATCTGTGTCTTGATTTAAGGCCATTTTTCATGCTGTCCCGTCACACTGATTTCCCCCTAGTGGTCACAATATGTAATTACACAAAAACTGCCAAACTTTAACTGCAATAGAAAAATGCACAATTAATTAATTGATAGCAATGACATTTTAACAAATATATAATATATTAACATCACTATAAAAATGTATAAATAAGTAATAGTAATTAATAGTATAATATAAACAAAAATTGGCAATCCCTTCCATCCGGTAATTTAATGAGTACCAACAACCTTATTGCATCTTTAACCTGATCATTCATCATTCATTCATTGTCTTTAATCATTCAGCCTCACATTCACACCTACGGCCAATTTAGGCCTGTTAGTCTGACATGCATGTCTTTGGACTGTGGGAGAAAGCCAAAATTAAGTCTATATAGCAGCTATTAGACATTTAAATGATGTTGATGATGGAAAAGGGTAGGAAATCAGTAGTTATTATGAATCTCTGGCTTTTTCCACAGCGTGTTTTTTGTCCTCTCTCCTCCCCTCAACCCAAATGGTTGCTGCAGATGGCCACCCCTCTCTGAGCCTGGTTCTGCCAGAGATTACTTCCTGGTAAAAGGGAGTTTTTCCTTTCCACTGTTGCCAAGTGGTAGAGTGTATTATTGTAAGGTCTTTACCTAACAAAATAAAGTTCCTCGCGGTTGTTGTGATTTGGCGCTACATAAATAAAACTTGAGTTGAGTTAAATTGATTTGAGTCTTGGGTTTTTTTTCCAGTCTCTTTGTAAATGTTCCGTTTCTTCCAGTAAATTTGCAAGTGTTTCTTGTCAATTAAATTTTTTTTACATTTTCAATGTCGATGGAAACCCTAAATATGGCCTTTTTTTGTCTTCGTACATTTATACATGTAAATGCAAACTCCACACACTTTTTTATTTTTAACGTTATACAGCCTACAAACTGGATTTGGCATCAGAGCTCTTTATACTTCGGTTTTTCTGTCTGAGCTTTAATGAAATGGCCTTTGTATTGCAACGTACTGTACAACAGACCCCAGTGAAGCAGAAGCATCATGTAGTTCAGCTTTTCTCCTGTAGATGGAGAAAGAGGGCCACTCCACGGGCCCAGGGGGCAAGAGGGTTTGATGAACTTGCCTAAAGCTTAATCTGAAAGGGTGCGGAAGTTGAATGGGGGGGATATTGTTTTTAATATAAGCAGGGCTAAATGACAAGACATCAGGAAAAGCTAAAATCTGTCGGGGTAGGACAAGCTCAGTTGTCTTGCTCTTTTTTTGTTTACTTTCTTTTTGTTTTTATTTTTTTTAGTGTCGGGGGTAAATTGACTACTATGGTTCTCATTTAAAATGTAAAATTAGCACACATTGTTACCGTACTTTTTACTTTAGTGTTCTAACGCTACTGTTTTTTTAAGCAAGCTCTCGTCGCGTTTGGTGATTTTATTTTGAAAATCGCTAAAGGAAGTGGAGATTGACAACAACCGGAAGAGTTGGTAAATAAACCGTGTTCAGATCCCGAAGAAGCTCAAAGAGCATGCTGAACATCTGTAGTAGGACAGGGCGGTAATAAGACATGGAGGACAAACAGCGGGAGCAGCTCGGAGGAAACCCGGACTGGATGTCGCGTTTGCCGGAGGAGCTGCTGGACGTCCCGCTGTGGAACCTGGCATTACCTGGTAAAACAGGAGCAACCAGTTCAGCCAGTTCAAGACAGAAAAGAATAGAAAACACTCTCATACAGATCACGTGTTTATTTTAAAAATATAATTATCCTTAATCTCAGGTTAAACTGTAATAAAAAAAATTGTCTCAGTTGACAGGCTCTTCTCGCACCACAGGCAGCCATGACAGCATGTCCTTCAGCCTGGATGTCTCCTCTCCTGTGGTGAGATCGGAGTCCTGCTTCCTCAGACTGACTGACAGGCTGTTCCCCTGCTGTACTCGACCCTGTGTTTACCGCTGGGCCACCACGCAGGTATTTTACGGTCCCCCTAAAGGTGAACGCAAACCAGGAACCTGCACCACCTCAGGTGATGCTCTCTACCTCGTAAAAGGTTTGGGGAATTCATCTGAGGTTTTGATAATTTGATAATTACTGAACTACTCTAGTTTGGAAGGAGGAAGATGTTTGATCATGACTTACTGTATACAGTACTGTGTAACGAGCCGCCCCTCATTTCTTCATATTTTGCTTCTAATCAGACTATCTTCATTTTTTTTTGTTAAAGTGGTCTTGAGCGGTTCTCCAGGCTTTCCAAAGGTCCTTGAATGCTTTTCTTTGGACATCTGGATGCTTATTTGATCATTTCCACCTAGTACTTAAACCTGACCATTTTCAGAGGAATGTTTTTTTTTTGTTTGTTGAGGCACTTAACACTAAGGTATGACTCATTCCAGCATCCAAAAAAGGCTCCTAACGCAAAGACGGAACAAGTGTTGTGTCTACACATGCAAATATCTAACCAACTTTAAACTGTATCTTTAAGCGTTTTGTTACTAGAAGCCTGTCACAAAAATGGGTTGAATGTTAGAAAAATAACAAAGATAAGAATTTAACAGACATAAAATGTTCTTTTTAGCACTACCAGCTGAAAACTTGGCAGATCTCAGCAGTGTGTCATTAAAAAGTTTGAGGAAGCTGCACAAGTGCAGAAAAAAGAAGAGGCAGATCTATAAAACTGTTTAAAAAAAAGTGACTAGCAAGTAACCTGAAACAGGAAGAAAAAGCTGAGATATGTCATACTACGCAAGAAGTAGACTGAAAATCAGAGACAACAGGTGTGATGGAGTGATGAATGCAAATGTAAAATTGTACAGAGGAGATCAGGAGAGAGATACAGCCATCTGTACAACATGGTGGAGTCTCTGTCATTGTTTGGTTCTGGTGTTTCAATATTCATTCTCTTTCTTGGCTACAGCTATCGGTCCTTTCTGATCAGTGTGATCTTGGTGTTCGTTTCTTGGACCTGCGGATCGCCAGAAAGCCAGCAGGGAGCAGCAAATTGTTTTTCGCTCACGGCATATACACGCTAATAACCGTCAAGGTCAGTAAACTACACCAAAACTGCATTGATACTCAGAGTGAAAGCTAATTTACAGCAAATTTTAATGTCTGTCTGCATGCAGGAGGCTCTGGATGAACTGGCCGGCTGGCTGGACGCTCACCCCAAAGAGATTGTAATCATTGCCTGTTCACACTTCGAATCTCTAAGTGACGAAGACCACGCCCATCTGATGGAGTTCATCCTCCTGCTGTTCAGAGGGAAGCTGTGCCCACCACAGGTGGATAGACATTATTAGGATAATGATTGATTTCTAAAGTTTAATAATGCCAAATATTCACTGCTTTCAGCCTCTCAGATAAGGATTTACCATTTTAACTTCAGTAGATATAAATACATGGAACTGATCTCAACCACAGGCTCATTGGGAACCCCCGACTAAAACGAATGCATTTAAGACTGTAGTCCTGCAATAAATCCTTTAATCATTTAGGTCATGGTGTTCAGTTTCTGTTGAAACTCTTTTCGACTCAGGTGTTTCAAATATCAGAGGTATTGCTCTAGTCCAGAAACCTGCTAATATACCACACCACAAACGTCACGCTCCGAAAATTAAAACGTGTTGCTGTAATCATGTTATTAGCCTGCATTGGTTTTGGCACAGTGTGCCTAATAAACTGACAGTTTGATTCATGTGTATGCATGCAGGAAACTCCCACTCTGCGGTCATGTTGGTCAAAAGGTCAGCAGGTCATTGTTTCCTATGACGACCAGGAGCTGCAGCACCCTGGGCTGTGGAATCGGATACCTTATTGGTAAAATACATAGACTGTATGTAGAAGGGTTAGACAGACTTCGTAGCTTAAGTGTCTTCGATTCCGTGATTTCGGTTCCGACTACTTTCTCTGGCAATATTAGCTGTTCTTTTTTTGTTTGTTTGTTTGTTTGTTTTGTTTTTGAGCATCTTGGTGTCTCAAAAGTATTAATAATAGATGTTGGTACAGTGACTTTAAACCACACTGAGAACAGCAAGAGCCAAAGGTTCAAATATGACATAATTGGAGTGTCATATTTTAATGTGTGTTCACTGTCAGACATAATACGTGCTTGTTGGTTTATTTATAAATGGTGTGACATGGTGTGAAATACAATATTAAATATGTAAACACTGGTTGCATGTAATATATACACGTATGTAAAGATAGTTTGTTTCCTCCTATTTTCAAACCTTAGATCTTATGTGGTTTTCTTGGTCTTCTTCTCTCCCTCCTTCTTTTTGGGTCTTTGACTGGTGACCAAGACTGGTGGCCATTAGGGGAAAAAAACAGATTTAAAGCAGTGCCTGATTACTTTTACTTTTCAAGGCTACTGTCTGCACAGTTGGTCATGTCACTAACACTGAAATGATTGAACCTGTCCTGTGTGTTCAGGTATGCTAACAGCCCAGATCCTAAGAAAGTGATCACCTATCTGGAAGGCCAGCAACGGCAGGGAAGACCAGGTATGAGGTTGTTGGAACAAGTAGTGCAGTGAGGGAAAGTAGTAGCATTACAGACCTGTATTTAAAACGTTAGAGCAAAAGTACTGGATACAGAATATACTGTAAAGGTAGTTTACTGGATTTAATAACCTGCCAAAGGTACAAATGTTAGTTTGTACATATATATGCATCCCACACAGCCTGTGATGGCTTTCAGTACCACTGTTTCCTCTGATGCTGCTTCTTCTGCTGTAATTTTTTTTTTAATCATCAGGAAGCCAGTGGATAAAATCGGAGAGAAACTCCACAGCAACACATACACATACAACTATACTTGCTGCTAACAATGTTGCACACTTTTGCGGGTTTATGTAGTAGGATTGACAGATTCAGTGCAGAAGTATAATTTATGCTTAAGCTCAAAATTCAAAGCGTATTCAGACTACGCAGGCTTTCAATAAAAATCCAACATGGATTTGCTGCCCCCATGTGGCGAACGTTTTTATTGAAACTTGAAAAGGTTTATTCAAAAATTTAAATGAAATGTTTTTATTAAAACAGAATAATTCCTTTAAATACCAAATTTCTAATATTCATATACTGTTGATTGAGCCACCAAAATATATAATTATTATTAACCTTTATTTTATTTTTTTTAAAACTCTTGAGATTAAAAATCTTTTACAAGAACGTCCTGTCAGTGACGTAGTAAAAATACTCTGAAGTGTACTGCTTCTGCAGCTAGCTGGGATTTATTTTACCTCAGGTTTTATTTGCTGTTCGTTTCTTTAAGCACCGGCTTTACAGACGGTTTTGTCTTCCAGATGGTTTTTACGTCACTGGTCTGAACCTGACAGAGACCATGTTTTACGTCTTCCTGCACCCTTTCCAGAGCATGAGGATGTTGACGTTGAACTCTCTCTCACTGCTTCTCCACTGGGCGGGTGAGCAGCAGCCAGGACCCGAGGGAGTCAACATTATGTGCTGTGACTTCGTCGGTATGAGCGAGTTCTGCTCGCTTGTCGTCGAGCTGAACTACAAACTGGTGGGCAGAGCCTGCAGGAAGCTGCCAGCATCCTCCAAAATAAGTGCCAGTTAATAATTTTGTGAGCCTGCCATCCTTTTTTTTTTTTTTTTTTTGCCTGTCCCGTTTGGCTCTTTTGCCATCAGAATTGTTGTCTAAAGGCAAAGAAAGATGCCCAACGGATTTACTTTACCAAACTGACCATCCCAGCCTTGCCATAATGGTCCATTTGATTCACCTTTTATTGTTTATTTTATTTTCACTTACTGAATACGGGACAGACTTGACTGGGGGAAAGAAGGGGAGAAAGAAAGAGGGAAAGAGAAACAGCTGAGAAGAGGGACGGGGGAGAAGGGCAAAAAACAAAAACCAACAGAATGGGCAGCAAAAAAAAAAAAATGCATATATCAGTCACCTGGGTCACCTGCTGAGAAAGAAAAAAGAAAACAAGCAGAAGAGAACAAGAGTAATAGAATAAACAACATCACAATGATATATGGGAATATGACAGTAAATACTAAATATTAAACATTATTGTGCAGCACGTAAGATCAACAGAACACAGTGTGCTTTGAGGTAGGAGCCAAAAAGGGTGTAGTTTGTGGGTGTGATCACCCGTGTGTACACCTGTGAGCATGGACGCGCTTGTTTTTTTGTTTTTTTTTTAAAGGTTCCTTCATGTAATGATCTGCTAGAGGGTGTGGGGGGGCCACAGCCCCGTCCTCCAGGGCATGAAGCAGGTATGGAGGAGATCAAAACTCCAGACATCCAGAGGCCCCCAGAACACAAGAGACCAAGGAAGACCAACAGAGGGGCAGCTGCACCACTGTCCCTGAGCCTGCCATCCTGTTTATACAGTTGTGTGCTTGATGTTTTTGTTTTTTAAGCATCACATTACCGTCTACATGTTTATTCAGGTTAATTTCAACATGCTTTACCTAAAACTATAAGGAGGTACACAAGTTACATGTTCTTTACACATTCACTGTGCAAGTGTAGTTAAAGTTTTATATTTTGCACTACTGGACACTTTTCCACAAATATGACAATCTATATATCGTATATGCATTTTCTTTTTTATTTTGACTTATTTTTAATTTCTAATTCATTTTTCTTTTTCAATGATTTTTCTTACCTCATAACTCGTCTCTGTGCTGTGAACTTTTCTTTAGGGATCAGAAAGTCTTACCTTTGCATTTCACAATGCCACATGTTACAAATTTTAGTGTTTACTATCAACATCACGAATGCTAGCAGCCTTTTAATTAGCGTACAGCTATACAATAGTTAGCTTGGAGAACAACGTGCTGAATACTAGGTCTCTCAAAGTGTTGCACTATATCTTGTATGATGTTACATTTCTTTTTTGTTTTACTGTAATCAAATGCTGGTATTTCTAAATAAATATTTTCATATTTATTTTTCACATTGTATTTTATAAACAGTTGGGTGGGTGCTGTTTGGTGATTAGCATTGTCACCCCACACCAAGCAACTCTTGAGTTTGAAACTTTGACTGCGTGGCTTTCTTCTACAGTCCAAAGAAACGCATGGGTTATGTCACCTGGTTATTCTACATTTACCGTCACACTGCCTGAATAATAAAAATCTGTGATTTTTGTACCTGGATTTGTTTGTAATTAAGATATTTAGAATCCTCAGACGATGCGCACAAACAAAATGATGAAGGCCTGGCTAAAAATGACTACTACTAATAATAATATAATAATAATAATAATAATAATAATTTTCAGTTTTCCAAAACACCACAAGCCACAAAATGTTCAGCATTAAATTAAATAAATAAATTGCATGTGAAAACAACAACAAACAAGAACTTATAGTTGTTTACTTTTTTCATACCAAGCTTGATGTCCAAACTTTGACTTAATTATCAAAAAAGAAGCAACATCTGTTAGATATTCAAATATTAAAAGTATAGAAAAAAAAAACTTACATTTTTTTAGACAAAAGGTGCATTTTTTACAATCTCATTTTTAAAAACCACAGCCTCTTCTTTTTAACATCTATTAAATATTTTGCTTTTTTTTTTTTTTTTTGCTGCATTACTGAGACCTATGGCTATTTCACCAGGAAAAATTAGCCTTTTTTGGATAGATTATATTTCTAACAGTGACACAGAAGAGTCTATTGATAAGAACCCAAACCCAGGATAAAGTGGTTCAGTGAAGGCACCACAGAAAAAGGTGTACAGGTGAATCTGTGAATCAGGCAAGACTGCGTAGAAAGCCAGAGTGCCTTCAGTCCAGTCTAAATATACTCCCACTCTTTCAGAGGCAGAGGACAGAGGAGCAAGGAGAACTGTTTTTATATTATTGTGCCAGGCGTAGATGTTTTTATCATTGAACTCTAAATTCCATGATTTCTCATTCCATCCAAGCCTGCTGCCATCTAGAGCTCCCCTCCTTCTGACGCTTTTGTAAGTTGCTCCAATATCAACACCTCCTTTCCACTCCACCTCCCAGTAACAGCGGCCTGTCAGACCCGTTGTACAGAGCAGCTGGTAGCACCAGTCGAATCTGTCCGGGTGTTCAGGATATGGCTGCTTCTCTGGTGACAGTCTTACTTTTCTGTTGTTCTCAAACAGGACAACATTTTTGTGGGCTGTGTTTGGGTCCAGTGTTAGTTCACATGCATCTAAGGAATACACAGAGAGGAAAGGGTGAAATACAGCAGTAAGTCTGAAGGTTTTAAATCAAACCAGAAATATAGTGTTACATCTTATATACTTACACTTCCTCAGACCAGATTTCAGCCTCTGAAGACCACTGTGGTCCTCGCTGGAAGGGGAAAATCAAAGTCAGACCAGACTGGAGTCCTTTAGTATTTCTACAGTTCCTGTACTCCAATGTACATCATACCTGAGGGAGTCCAGCCTCCAGTTTGGATCCTTCAGTCCCACAGATCGTAGCTTTACTCCCAACTCATCTGGATGGTTATAACTGAGGTCGAGTTCTTTTAGATAGGAGGGGTTGGACCTCAGAGCTGACGCCAAAGACGTACAGCCATCTGCCGTGATCAAACAGCCTGACAATCTGCAAGAGTGCAAAACTGAAGTAATCCATCCACCTAAAACTAATATATAATTTGCATGATAATTGGTGCAGATGGTCATATGCAAGTGAGATAGTGTAAAGTACCTCTCAAGTGTCTTTCAAAGCAAAGAAGTAATTCCTCAGGTACAGCAGCTAGTTTTAAAAATGGTCTTGTTCAAGATTTGCAAAAGCAACAGAAATGTGCTCATAAGAATCTGCACTCAGTCTGTCCACCACAACTATGAATTCATTAGTCCGACTTCAGACAAAAAAAAGCCCTCTCTTGCTTTGTACACTATGCTATCTGAGAAGTTAAATGAAAATGTTTGCACTTTCATAACTGTGGCTGTTTGTGCATACTGTTTAGTGAAGATGTTTTATTTATTTATTTATTTTTTGCTTTTTTTTTCCTGTTGTGTAGGTTTAGGTTTTTATTAATTATTTAGTTTTATTGACTCTGCAGCAGTTTTAAATGTAGCTCTTAAGGGTTATTTTCATTGTAGTTTATAACCTTTGTCTTATGGAGATGGAGTGTGTGTGCAAACACAACATTAGTTCAGTTTTATTTACATTATGCCAATTCACAATAACAGTCACCACAAGTTGTTTTTTTTATATTGCAAGGTAAAGACCTTACAATATTAGGATGAAGCCCCAGCCACCAGTTGATCCCCTATGAACAAGCACTTGGCAACAGTGGGAAAGAAAAAAAAACTTTTAACTTGAAGAAACTGCTAGCCAGGGTTTAGGAAGGGGCAACCATCCTGACAGCAAATCGTCTACTAGGAAAAAAATGGGTCCCCTTGTCACAGTTGACTGCCTGTCCAGTCTTTTCACAATGACCCTTACGGTGCAACACATATTCCTCAGATGCATACCCAAACGTTTGTAGTCTACAGTGTGGGCTCCTCAGTCCAGTAGAAAGCAGTTTTACTCCTGAATCTCGTAGGTCATTGTTACTCAAATCCAGGTGTCTCAGACTGCAAGAGTCAGAGCTGAGGACCAGTGAGATATATTGACCACATTTCTCTGTGAGATTTGTGTTTTTCAACCTGAAAAATTAAGAATGTTTCTCCATGTAATTTCTGTGATCCATTTACCCTTGACTTTCATTATCATAATGAACAAAATATGTGTGTATATATATATATATATATAAAGCTTAAACATATTTAAACTATGCTACAAACCAAGCCAAATTAAAGGATATTAGAAGTCTCAAGCATTGGCATATTTATAAACACCAAAGATTAAGTCAGAAACTCTGTAATTAAAATTAATTAAGTGATGTTAAAACAATAAACAGCACTAAAATAAAATTAAAATGTTTGGCTAAGTTAGTGTAAAAATGTGACCTCACCTCAGAGTTTCCAGTCTACAGTGTGGACTTGTCAGCCCAGTAGACAAAAGCTTGATGCCTGAATCCCACAGGTGGTTCTTACTTAAGTCCAGCTCTCTTAGACTGGTAGACTTTGACATCAGAACGTCACAAGTTCTTTCTGATAACCTGCAGCCACTCAGGCTAAAGGATTAGATTCAGTAAATGTGCGATTTGGATTATATATATATATATATAATATATATATACACTCAACAAAAATATAAACGCAACACCTTTGTTACTGCTCCCATTCCCCATGGGATGGACGTAGAGACCTAAAATTCATTCCAGATACACAATATAACCATCCCTCCCAAACAGTGGTCACAAATCAGTCCAAATGTGTGGTAGTGGGCACATCTGCTATATTGAGATAATCCATCCCACCTCACAGGTGTGCCACATCAGGATGCTGATCTGACATCATGAGTAGTGCACAGGTGTACCTCAGACTGCCCACAACAAAAGGCCACCCTGGAATGTGCAGTTTTTTGCGCTATTGGGGGTCTGGGGACCCAGAACCGGTCAGTATCTGGTGTGACCACCATTTGCCTCATGCAGTGCAACACATCGTCGCATGGAGTCTATCAGATTGTCAATTGTGGCCTGTGGAATGTTGGTCCACTCCACTTCAATGGCTGTGCGAGGTTGTTGGATATTCGTGGGAACTGGTACACGCTGTCGTATACGCCGGTCAAGCACATCCCGAACATGCTCAATGGGTGACATGTCCGGTGAGTATGCTGGCCATGCAAGAACTGGGACATTCTCAGCTGCCATCTGCCCTGAACAATGTGAACCATGATTCATCCGTGAAGCGCACACCTCTCCAACGTGCCAGACGCCATCGAATGTGAGCATTTGCCCACACAAGTCTGTTACGGCGACGAGCTGGAGTCAGGTCAAGACCCCGATGAGGACGACGGGCATGCAGTTGAGCGTCCCTGAGACGGTTTCTGACAGTTTGTGCAGAAATTGTTTGGTTGTGCAAACCAATTGTTCCAGCAGCTGTCTGGGTGGCTGGTCTCAGACGATCTTGGAGGTGAACCTGCTGGATGTGGAGGTCCTGGGCTGGTGTGGTTACACGAGGTCTGCGGTTGTGAGGCCGGTTGGATGTGCTGCCATATTCTCTGAAACGCCTGTGGAGACGGCTTATGGTTGAGAAATGAACATTCAATGCACGGGCGACAGATCTGGTTGACATTCCTGCTGTCAGCATGCCAATTGCACGCTCCCTCATTGCTTGTGGCATCTGTGGCATTTTGCTGTGAGACAAAACTGCACATTCCAGGGTGGCCTTTTGTTGTGGGCAGTCTGAGGTACACCTGTGCACTACTCATGATGTCAGATCAGCATCCTGATGTGGCACACCTGTGAGGTGGGATGGATTATCTCAATATAGCAGATGTGCCCACTACCACACATTTGGACTGATTTGTGACCACTGTTTGGGAGGGATGGTTATATTGTGTATCTGGAATGAATTTTAGGTCTCTACGTCCATCCCATGGGGAATGGGAGCAGTAACAAAGGTGTTGCGTTTATATTTTTGTTGAGTGTATATATGTATGTGTATGTATGTGTATATATATATATATATGGAACATTTAAATATGTAGGATTAAGGTATAAACCATTCTACTACCATTTAGGTATAAAGCATGGCAGAAGAAATTAGAAAACTTTAAAATGTCAGTAACTGTTATAAACAGTAGAACTGTGACATAAAAAAAACTTTCTATATCCATCGCACTGATATAGCTTTTTCATTTAGGTGCACCTACAAAAAAAGATTGACACAAATTTTGCTCAAATTAAAAGTAACAAATAACCAAAACCGACCTTATGTATAGAAAGTATTAGAGTTTACAAGTTGAAATCTGACCTGAGAGTTTTCAGGATGCAGTACGGACTATGCAGTCCTGCAGACAAAAGTGTCACTCCGGAATCCTGCAGATCATTGTTACTGAGGTCCAGATCTCTCAGACTTGAAGACCGGGAGCTAAGAATTGTTGAGATGTCATTGCAGCATTTCTCTGTGAGGTTGGTTTGAGTTAACCTAACAAATGAGATACAGGTCTTTAACGTGTATACTTTAGAGCATTGTAGACTATGTTTTTAAAAAGGTCAATTTTATAGAAACTTGCAGTATCTATAATCAAATACAAACAAAAAGTTCTCTGTACCAGGTTAGCTGTTATATTTATGAATAAGCATCTTATAAATAAGAAACATTTTACCAAAGGACAAAGCATTTGCAATTACATCTAATGTCACAGTTGCAGAATCAAGGTAGCCAAATACGTCTTAACCTGACCTCACCTTAGAGTTTGGAGTTGACAGTGTGGACTTCCAAGTCCCTCACAGAGCAGTTTTACTCCTGAGCTCTGCAGGTCATTGTCACTCAAGTCCAGCACTCTCAGACTAGACATCTTTGTGCATAAAGCTGATGATAACCCTTGACAGCATTGCTCTGTGAGACCAGTTCGACTCAATCTGATAAAATAAAAAGATACATCTTAAAATGTTTTTAAACCAAACATTTATGGGATGTAATACAGTGGCGTAGGAAACGTGTTTTGTGTGGGCCAAGAGAGTTTAATGGAAGTTGCCATCACACTGTCTCTATCATCACATCTCTTGAATTAAAAAAAAAAAAGCCAATGGGATTTTTAAAAAGAGATTACTTTTAAAAGAGATTATTTTTAAAAAGTTACAAATTACTTTTGGATGATTCTGCAAAATAAGTTCTGCAGGACATGTTTTGGAAATTTACATCTGTTTTTAAAGATAAATTTGATTATGTTGATTGTAATGTTGAACAAAATATGCAATTTTTAATGATCTCTGAAACATAAATTCCAAGTAATAAAATACAAATTTCAGGCTACAAATGAATAATATCAAGTTGTGTGACTTGAACATCATCGATACGCTTCTGTAAATGAAGTAATGATGCTAATTATCCCCCAAAACTGGAAATGTCTAAATTAGGTACTTGCTAGCAAACACCTTCTCAGGGACACTTGAAATCTTTATAATTCTGTTGTAGAACACAAGTCTGAAGGTTAGCCACAGATTTTATTATAAGCATGTAACCAAAAACTAATTTTAAAAAACCTAATGACTTTAAGATCCAAACGTAAAACTTTAACATAAGTCATAATCCAACCGGAGAGTTTCCAGTCTGCAGTGCTGATTTCCCTGTTCAGAGAAGAGCATCACTCCTGAATCCTTCAGGCTGTTGTTGCTCAGGTCCAGCTCTCTCAGATTAGAGGAGGTGAGAATGAAAAACAGCGTATCATGACTTTTCTCTGACAGATTACAACCAATCAGCCTGTAGAAGAATTTAAATCAGTGCACAAATTAAAAACAAAACACAACATACAGAATTATTTTAAATATCACACCACAGATTATTAATTGCTATGTAAAATAGGATATCCCGACCTGAGTGTTTCCAGTCTACAGTTTGGACCTTTTAGCCCAGCAGAGAGCTGTTTCAGTCCAGAGTCCTGCAGATTGTTGTAACTCAAGTCCAATTCTCTCAAATGAGAGGTCTCTAGAACTAATGACAGCTCTTGACAGCATTTCTCCGTGAGATTGTTTTGGTTCAACCTGGTAATAAGATAAATATAAACATGTTTTGTTTAGACATTTACCATTTCTGTTCAATTTTTAGCAGTTTCAGCAGAAACGACTGTGAAAATTTGCCCAAAATGTGTTGATCAAACCTTAGCTTTTCTAGGCTACACTGTGGATTTTTCAGTCCAGAAGACACCAACTTCAGTCCTGAGTCCTGCAGGTTGTTGTTTGTCAAATCAACATCTCTTAGAGTAGAAGACTGAGCGCTAAAAACTGAGGCCAAACCTTCACAGCATCTCTCTGTCAGATTACAGCCACTCAACCTACGTTTATTATTCATACAAAAGGGAGCAATGTTAATCACAACAAAAAAATCTACTGATATCTGCCAAAATGTATAATTATATGTTGGCCAGATACGTAGTTATTAAATGCATGTTCATGTGGTCACCATCAAGAAACTACTGAAAGTAATTATGGTATTAAATTCAGGTTTTAAGTACCCAAGTAAACAGCTCTGTATTTTCAGTGTGTTATTTCATATCCTGCGTAAATTGTATAAAAATTTTCCTTCTCATATAGAGGATGCATCGTTCATAGCTTTTATAATCACAGCTAGAACATTTAGAAAATAATGCATGCAGATCTAGTGCATTAAATAGCCCAAAAACGTTCCTAAAAATTACAGCAAAATTTAAGATACAGAAACTCTGGAACAAAGACTCAAAATCTCATGGTAATTAAAATGAGCATTTCTCCAAAACAAAACAACCAGACTACTTAGAAAGAATCAGGAACATTGATCAATAATAGAATTTTGCTGAAGCTGTAATTGTATCAACTGCCAGTATGTCATTAAACTCATCAGAAATAGTGAAAATATAGTTATTAATGAAGTTGAATGATTTCATATTTTTGTTTTACTTTCTCTCTGTATTTACACATCCCATGATTTCCTTTTTTAAGCTTTTCTCTTTTAGCTTTCTCTTTGTTTAATCTATTTTTATTTTTTAAACATATACATGCATTGATTTCTAAGTAAATTATAATTTCCTGACTTACTTTATTTTCAGCAGATTAAGCTAAATGCAGTAGTTCTTTAGCAGTTGTTTCCCATTTTTCAGGAAACTTACAGAGATTTGTTGGAGGCTTTGACCACAGGCAGCAGCCTCAGAAGACCTTCATCAGAAGCAGAGTATTTCTTCAGGTCGAACATGTCCAGGTCTTCTTCTGATGACAGTAAGATGAAGACCAGAGCTGACCACTGAGCAGGAGACAGTTCATCTGGGGAAAGGGTTCCTGAATTCAGATACTGTTGGATCTCCTCAACCAGAGAATGGTCATTCAGCTCATTCAGACAGTGGAACAGGTTAATGCTTCTCTCTGGTGACAAACTCCTCCTGATAACACTCTTTATATACTCAATTGTTTCCTGCTTCGCAAGAGAGATATTTCCTTTCTGTGTCACCAACCCACCAAGAAGTGTGAGATTTGTTGGCAGGGAAAGACCCAGAAGGAAGCGGAGAAACAAGTCCAGGTGTCCATTGGGACTCTGTACAGCCATGTCCACAGCACTTTGGAAAAGGTATGATAGCTTAGATTTGACCCTGAATAAATTTGACCACCAAGTTTCAGACTGAAACAGATTCACGCCAAAGTTTGTCAAAGTCAGAAAGACATAAAGAGCAGCTAGAAACTCCTGAACGCTCAGATGGACAAAGCAAAACACTTTCTCCTGGTGCAGCCCCCTCTCCTCTTTAAAGATCTGTGTGAACAATCCTGAGTACACCGAGGCCACTCTGAGATCAATGCCAGATTCTGTCAGGTCTGATTCATAGAAGATCAGGTGACCTTTCTGCAGCTGCTCATATGCTAGTTTTCCCAATGACAAAACCATTTCCCTGCTCCCTGGATTCCAGTGTGGATCCACCTCAGCTCCAATGCAATACTTGATGCTCCACAGTTTTGCTTGAACCACCAGGAAGTAGATGTACATCTCAGTCAAGGTCTTAGGCAGCTCTCCTCCTGCTCTGGTTTTCAGCACATCCTCCAAAACAGTAGCAGTGATCCAGCAGAATACAGGGATGTGGCACATGATGTACAGGCTTCGCGAAGTCTTTATGTGAGAGATGATCCTGCTGGCTTGCTCCTCTTCTCCAAATCTCTTTCTGAAGTACTCCTCCTTCTGTAGGTCAGTGAACCCTCTGACCTCTGTCACCATGTCAACATATCCAGGTGGAATCTGATTGGCTGCTGCAGGTCGTGTGGTTATCCATAGCCGAGCAGAAGGAAGCAGGTTCCCACAGATGAGGTTTGTCAGCAGAACATCCACTGAAGTGGGCTGTCGAGCATCAGTCAGGATCTTATTGTTTTGGAAGTCCAGAGGAAGTCGACACTCATCCAGGCCATCAAAGATCAACACAACCTGTAATTCCTCAAAGCTGCAGATTCCTGCTTCTTTGGCTTCAGTAAAGAAATGATGAAAAAGTTTCACCAAACTGAAATTTGTACCCTTCAGCAGGTTCAGCTCTCTGAAGGTGAATGGAAATGTGAACTGGATGTCCTGGTTAGCTTTGTCCTCAGCCCAGTCCAGAGTGAACTTCTGTGTCAAGACTGTTTTCCCAATGCCAGCCACTCCCTTTGTCAGCACTGTTCTACATGCTTGATCTTTACCTGATGAGGTTTTAAAGATGTCCTCACATGTGATCGTTCTTTCTGGTCTGGCCGGTTTCCTCACAGCGGTTTCAATCTGTCTGACCTCGTGTTCATTGCTGACCTCTCCAGTCCCTTCTTCTGTTATGTAGAGCTCTGTGTAGATGTCATTCAAAAAAGTTGGGTTTCGCGTTTTAGCTGTCCCCTCAAACAAGCACTGGAATTTCCTTTTTAAACTAAATTTAAGTTTACGCTCACATACTGCAGGGGATTCTGCATAAACACACAAAAACAACATATAAAATTATCCCTCACATGTAAAGTTAGAAATAATGTTAAAGTTTAGGTTGCTGACAATTTTGAAAACTAAAACCACAGATACTTTTACAAAAGGTTGTTGTAGCTTCTATGTGTGAAATATGAAGCCAATGCTGAACCTGTATTCTTTCCAACAAAGAACAAACTTGCAATTAATCAATGAAAAACATGCAAAGACCTAAACTCTGCAACTTTTGCACTTTTTACTGTCTTCAGCTTTGAAACCTGTGTGACTGAGATCTTAGCCATGTACAAAAAAAATCCAAAAAGAAGATCTAGTTTTGTCAAGTCTATATTTTCAAAACAGTGTAAGTTTAAAAAAATATACAAACAAATAAAAATTACAGGATTATGGCCATAGTCACTGTCCTCATTGTTACCTGTGGTTTCATAACACCAAGATGGCCACAGTCAAAACATTTAGCTTGAAGCACTAGCAGTAAACTGACAATCAGTCAGTGATGATGAATGGGCTTCAAGTACATAATAAACTCGTTAATCTGTTATACCTGCATTAACTGCTCAATGTGGAGTTTAAAGGGCATCTTTATACTGTATATTTGTTTCCTTTTTCTCATTGTCTTCCTTCCTCACATACTATCCATTAAAATGCAGCTGTAAAATGTTCTTACTGCTCTGCAGAGAATCAGCCAGGTTCTCGTGGTTTATTCTTCTCAGGAAGTGCAGTGCGATGTTTTGAAATGCCTCTCTGCTGCTCCTCATGCCCTCATTCATATCGGTGTCCATTTCTCCATCTGAACACTTTGATTTTAAAAGCCTTTGCATTCGCTTCAACTCGTCTTTCACAAAAGTGAAAATACTCTCCTCAAGCAACTGAAAAATTATATAAAAAGATGAAACATATACTGTGACTAAAAAACCAAACCAAACAAATCAAAAACTGCTGAGACTTTGCTAAGTGCACACTGAGACAAATTTACCTTAAATATTGAGTCTATGTCTGTTTGATGGTCCTCCACACATGAAGCACTATGAACCTCTGAGATGTCCTGATACAGTCTGTGAATAAAAATGAAACACACTACACTAAAAAAATTATCTTTTTGATAAAGAATGACAATCTATTTTACTGGAAAACTGTTTTCCGGCATGTTGCCACTTCAAGATCATTCTCAACATGGTTCTCTTGTTGCAAAAAATAAATCCAATAATTCATAAATAAAGTGCAGAAATTGGTAGAAAAACTGTGTAAATTATAAGTTATAAAGTAGTTTTTTTTAAATTAATAAAATTTGTAATAAACATGCAAAGTCGCAAAAAAGCCCCCCATTATTACTAAAGTTTACATTGCGGGGTTCCACAGGCTCAATACTTGGTTCACTGCCATTTTAGGGTTTTATTGAATACGCAATGAAATGCCAGAGAACTGATCCTATGCATTGCAAAGATCTTCAATGTATTTTCAGTAAGTGCCACATAAAATATATGTATATATGGCTACCAATGATATGGCAGCCATAATAATGATAAACATATGTAACTAGCAAGTTACCTCAACTGTTTTGTTATTAATAAGGGGCCACCACAGCAGGTAGCTCCACATATTAAGTCTGGCAGATTTTGTGATTCTTGCTCTTCCTAAGGAAGCCTACAAGGGATTTTTCCCAGAGAATTAACTCATTAAGTCATTGGCCCAGTTTTCCAACAATTTTCAGTGTACACACAGTGTTTTAACGTGTACCAGTATTAGGTTTATGACAGTTTTAGGGTTTCAGTATGTTGCCACAAGTCATTTTGACGTGCAGTCTAGAGGAAACGTCACAGTCCTGATAATAATAGAATGAATAAAGAATAATGAAATGAAAAAAATGTGTTAAAAGTTTAGACTGCAACATAAAATCATTACTACTTACATACTTTGCTCCTTAACAGACTTGATGTGATGTTAATAAACTGAGGTTATATAGTGACACGCTAACTCACTCTGTGCCAGAAGTCTGCTTTCTGTTAAAAGCAAGAGGTGGCTCCTTGGAGTGGTCACTCATGACCGAATCACAGCTGGATACAGGACAACCAGGCCTCACCTCCCCAGTCCTGGCAGAGAAACACCAGACAAAAGCATTATTGTTATTATATCTGCCAAAAAACAGTTTAATAAATGCAAGTGTAGCAGATACTGCAGTGGACTAACTCTTTTCCAGAAGATTGTTGTCTATTAAAAGCAAGAGGTGACTCCTTTGAATGATTGGTCTTGATCGAAACAGAGCTTGATGCAGTTGATCTAGTCTGCTGCTGCTCCTGGCTTCAAAACAAGAGAGTTGTTAGTCTCACTAGTCATGTAAGAAAACCTGGACATATCTGAGCAAGATTCCTATGTCTTAGTCTACTATTGTTCGCGTTGCTGACACAACTGCAGTGCTGCATTTACTCATTCTCTCTTTTTCTTTTTTTTCCCTTTCTTGCCTGTCCTGTTTGGCTCTTTTGCCATCAGAATTATTGTCTAAAGGCGAAGAAAGATGCCCAACAGATTTACTTTACCAAATGGACCATCCCAGCCTTGCTGTAATGGTCTATTTGATTCACCTTTTATTGTTTATTTTATTTTATTTTCACTTGCTAAATACGGGACAGATTTGACTGGGGAAAAGAAAGGGGAGAAAGAAAGAGGGAAAGAAAAACAGCGGGGAAGAGGGATGGGGATAAAGGGCAAAAAACAAAAACCAACAAAATGAGCAGACAAAAAATACATATATCAATCACCTGGATCACCTGTTGAGAAAGAAAAAAGAGAAAACAAGCAGAAAAAAAAAGAGCAACATAATAAACAACATCATGATGATCTATGGGAATATATATCGTAAGCACATATGGACACAGACATACAGGCACACACAGATACAAACATCCATCCGGACCGGGGCCCAGTTCGGCAGCGCCGCCTGGCCCCACAGAGCCCGGGACAGCCCACCCGACCCCACCACAGAGAAAACTGCACCCACCCCGTCATCCACTCATCTTCCAGACTACACAAGACAATAGACGCCCAGGCTGAGGTCTTCCTCCACCTCTCCTGTATCTCCCCCTCCTGCAGAGTGAGTTCCTGAAGAGAGGAGACCTCCTGCAAGATGTAACAGCCTCCCCCACCAGTTGAAGAGCCCCCCAGGTGGCTCGATGCACTGGCGGCACCCTGCGCCAGGGCTGGGCCCCCATACACCCACCCGCCCACAACCCCGGCAACACACCAACCAGGACCCAAGCCCCCGAGGCCCAGCCAGGGCCCCAGCCCAGAGACGGAGCACCCCCAGAACCCCACGCCCGTCCCGGATCCACCCAGGGCAGCCAGGCTACCAGGTCAGTAACCCACGTCCATCAGCACAGACCCTACCCTAGCCCCGCTGCACAGAGCCACGAGGAAACCGTCACCTAAGAGCCAACAGAGCCCCTAATAGGCCATGACCGCTACCCCGGGTTGAGCCCCCCAAGGAAGATGCTCCTGGGGAATCCCCCAACACCCCAAGCCTGTCCCTACCCCCACACCAATCACAACAGCAAAGGTGGGACCAAACTATGACCCCCCACCCCCACTAGGTGATGGAGCTGATCAAAGGAGCCCAGAGCAATTGATCTGATGTGGTGGCAGAGGCTGTATCAAGACTAATGTAATCTAATAGGTAATTTCTATATTGGTTATAATTAAGATTATTTTTTATATTTTTTCAGTTCATGAGGACTGTTTTCTTGGCAATGCATAGGGCAGTGAAAACCATATGGGCTATATTCTTTTCTGAAGTGACATTATCTAAGCTGCCCAACAAACACACTAAAGGGACTTCGATAAGTCTTCACATATCTCGCGAGAAAACTTCTGAACTGGTGGACAGAACCAAAGAGCGTGGATATAATTGTCCGGTGAATTGGTTTGGCAGTGTGAGCAGTTGTTGGCAGACGTAATGTCATGAACTGGCTGTGTGGCAGGCAGGAAATAGGACCCAAACGCAAACTCACGGGAAAACAGGACTGAACTCAAAATACAGCTTTATTGCTGACAAAAGATGACAAAAGATAACAGCGATACAAAATAACATGAAACTAAACTGGGAAGTACTAAGGAACGGACTAACAAGGAAACACACGGAGGGGCACACAGTCGTGAGGGAGAACGCGACACAGAACTGAGGGAGACGCAGACATAAATACACAGAGAGTTAACGAGGGAAGTGGGAGCACACGGGGAACACAGGTGACACTGATAATCATAACAAGACACGGCAGGAGTGAACGCAACACTGACGGGAGACGGACAAAGTAAAACAGGAAGTACACAGAGGTTCAGACAGGAGGAGAGAGAGCACAGGGAGAACACAGACATAACGGGCTGGGGAAAACATGGAATAAAACACAAGGAGAGACGAGGGCTCACAGATACACAGGGGCACACAGGAGGTAACCAAATAAGGAACATCTTTAACAGAACCTAGGAACCACAGCATAAGGAACAAAATTCAAAAATACAAGAAAACTAAGAATGCTGGGCCAATATGGCCCAGGATCATGACACGTAAAGCCCATCTTGAACATCCGATGACCTGTATAGTGCACTCTATGTAGTATTTTGTATTGAATTAATTGAAGACTGGGATTTCTAATTAAATGAAGGGTTTTTAAGCAAATCTGAGACCAGAAGTTTTGGTCTAAGTTAACTGATAAATCCGCTTCCCATTTTACAATAGGAAGTGATATTGATTCATCCATTTTAGAAAGCATTCTGTATATTTTGGAAAGTAATTTTGGGGTTTTAAGAGTAAGAAATTGAACCACACTTGGTGGTGTTTGTAGTTCAACTTGACCCAGTTTAAATTTCTTTTTTACTATGGATTTAATTTACTCATTCTCAGTCATTCACAGCTCACTGACAATAGTGCTGGCAAATTATTCAGCAGGATCAAGTTTTCGGGGATACAGATAACTGACAGCCTCTTAATACGTCAGTACTGGTTGAAAAGGGCTGACCGGCATCTGCACATCAGGCACTGCAGCAGATCGTCTTCACTGTGTCTATATGCCTAAATACATTGAGTTGCTGCCATGTGATTGGTTAATAAGATACAAGTTAATAAGCAGTTTAACAGGTGTACCTAAGGATGTGGCCAGTGAGTGTGTAAGTGTCAGAAACACAAGTAACTTACCTCTGAGCTTCAGTGGGCCCACAAAGTTCCCCTGGTGTAGTGTTTTTAGAGGGAAGGATCCCATCATTTTTCCCTTCTACAAGATCCACGGTGGAGCTCATATCTTTATACAAAATACACCCAACTTACAAAACATCTGAGACTAAAGCTTGCTTTCTTGAACACGTCAAGGATATTGTTAAATTCAACACATATTTTCAAAGTGTTGTCAGAGCTTCCAATATTAATTATATTTCCTCAAAATAAGCAAATACCTTTTAAATTCTTATCCATCAAATCATCAGTATTTTCTGTAATGTCTGTAAAGGAGAAACAGAACATGGAGTTTGTTGTTTATTATTATTTTATTATTAAGACCCTGCATATATTGGACTTGCACATATGTTTTCCACACTCACTGAAATGGCAGCACAGATTACTTTTTATGAATGATGACCCCCACCCCCTCTTCTGATCTCTATTTTAATTTTAGTTAGTTTAATCTTAGTTAGCTCACAATAAATGGATTCTAATTTATTGTTAGATTATTTTCTTGCTCGGTGTTAAGCTCTTAATATATTCACACTTATATAGTGCTACTGGCCACTCAAAGTGTCCATAAGTTTTACAATACTTACTACTTCCTCATGACTATTTATACTACACCAAAGTGTATCTATATTAGAAATACTGAGTAGAAAAAATGTGTTTTACTTTATTATTACTCCCCAAAACTAATTACAACTAAATGTGAAATTAAGCCTGAAGAGTTTGTATTAAGGATACTTTGTCTTGTGGGGCACCTTGTCTTGACTGAGGTACATCAAAGTGAACACAAGCTCATTAACAATTACCTTAGTATTGTCGCATTTATGATATGTACGATTTATACAAATCGAAAGTTTGTGTTACAAACTGTTTATGCTGTAAAAAGTAATTTGGATTAACGTTTGTGACAGGCTGCTTATACATGTGATGTTTTTAAATGCTTTTTACTTATAATTCTTGTACTAATGTCGAGGGCTGCAGCTATCGATTATTCCATCGATTAATTGAGTAATCAGATAAGAATGAGTTTTGTCTTATTAATGAGCAATATTAAATAAACAAAAGGGGAAAAAACACAGGTCTTTCAATATCAACTGCTCATTTCCATTATAAAATTGCAATATTTAAAATCTCTAACAACAACAATAACAACTAAACCCTTTAATTTTATGCACATGTCTTTTGAAATCTATTTTTTGTAGTTCTTTCCAGTTCTTTTTCTACATATTTTAGTAGAACTTCTGGAGGCTTACTGCAGATTTGTGTAAAACAAGCGGAAGTGGATGAAGACTCTGGCTCCAGAGTGTTTTTAGTCGCAAATGTAGGCAACGGCGCGCTACAGAGCCGTGTGTTAAACAAAGCATCGAAGCAAAGAATTTGTGTCGAGTTTTTTGGCTGTACTGTCTCCAACAGGGTCAGGAGATGCTGCACTTCACTTGTTCTGACCTAAATGCATTTTAAAGAGAGAAAATAAGATTTTACAGTACCTTTTCATGGTGAGAGTAACGCTCCAAGCTCATTGAGAAAATCCACCATTGAAAGAAGTGCACAAATCCCACTATCACGCCCAGGCGTGAGTCACACCAGGGCGTGTGACAAAGGTAGAATAAACGTAACGCTCCCTGGGCTTTTTCCTTGCAGGCAGTCAGTGCCTCTGCTCTGATTCGGAAGCATTATAAAGCCATAACTAGTAACCATAGGTGTTAAAAATAAAGACAGAACATTTTGCGTAAGCTTTAGTTATACCAGTACGTTTCCATAAAGCTGCAAATCTGAAGCGGAAGCGTGCCTGAAGTCGTCTGGAAGTCGCAGCGCAGGGCAAACAAACACACATCACAGGCTGAGGATGAATCACAAAGATAAACTTGGACCTCAATGAAGCTTCAAGTTTCACTCTGACTGGAGAAAAAACTGTGACATGATGAACAAATAAAACCTTTAGTGATGTTAAAATGGACTTTTTACCATAAAACAGGGGCCTCTGCACACTTCTTCACTCTGCACTGCTGCTTTTGAGAAGCCTGTTTCCTGGCTTTTCTCTTCTGCATTTTGCTTAGTGAATAAAAATAACAGCCTATTTGGTAATCCTGCCTCTGCACTCAGAGAAACTTCCTCTTTCTTAGTTTTTTCCCCCCTCAAACTGCAGTCGTTGCTTTGTTTTGCTCAACACTTTGTACAGTTTTTGCTTCTCTTTTCTCACCTTTCTAAGAGCTGCAAATGATGAGTTCACTGTAAGTTCATTTAACTGCTTGCATTTTAGCCTTAGCAGGATTTTTCCAAGGCAACTTTATAATACATGAGGTTTCATGTGAGTAATTAACTTAATGGAGAAGCAAATCAGTACAACAGGTACCAACAAGACTGGAGAATAGAAGGATGTTTGTGTTCACAGGATTTTTACCATGGGAACGGGTAATTGTGTGGATGCTTTAAGCATCCACACTATTGAGTTCCTGTTTCTCTTTATTGTGTGGATGCCTTAATAGGCATCCACACTATTGAGATCCTGTTTCTCTTTATTGTGTGGATGCCTTAATAGGCATCCACACTATTGAGATCCTGTTTCTCTTTATTCTTTATTCCACTATATTCCAGTTGCTTCCGTACACTTTTTGGCACTCAACTACTCCCTCAGTTTTCAGCCGATTTTCTCCGTTC